ATAAAGTCCTATATTTAATTTTGGAGCATTAAGAAAGATAGCTTTTCAGTGGAAATGCTTATATTATTCTGTAATGAAGGTCAATCTGCATTTGTTTGCAGTGAAAAAGAAAACACCTACTTCTGTCGATGTTTTTGCTTTGTAATGCTGTAAATGGCTGCAGAAGGAAAATAATTGAATTGCATGCAGCTTCACTTGCTGTTCCATGAACTTGTAACTGCTTATTACTTTCACTGAAACCCATTTTTCCTCAATTTGCACTCTTCATGGGCAATCTTATGTACAGGTAGGCAGAAAACCACCTTTGCATATGTACATAAATGAATTACATGAAGGTCCATGTAAGGTATTTATCCACTAGCCAGATAAAATATTATTTCAAGAAAACTAATGAAGCTGCCTTCTCTGTTACACCAGTTTTGAAAAGGAGCTTTCTTAAATGCTTTGAATTCTTCAAGTGCTAGAGTTCAAATCAGACTTTTTTTTTTAAATCTAATTTGCCAGTTAAGAAATGCTGCAGCAGTTGGTGTTTGACATCTTTTATGTACATCAGTTACGTTTTCCTGCAGTTATAGGGTGGATGCTGTGATTCTTAAACACCAGTTGCATGTAATGTGATGTGCATTTTTCAGTAGGATAAATGATTTCATCTCTGCCCCTGCTCTGAACTCAGCAGAACTGACGTAATGTATATGGAGCCCACGCCCTGCTGCCTCAGTGCTGATCCAGTTCTGCAGAATAGCATTACAGTTATATGGGTCTCTTGAGCAACAAAGCTGCAGTAAGAGCCAGCAAGTGACTTTTCTAGTACCTGAGCTGTGGAGTAGAAGACGCTTTTCCTGAGGGCTCCAGCAAAAGATCCCTTGCACTTCGCTTCTCAGCAGAGTATTTAGCTCTCAGATTTCAATCTGATTTATGATATGCATGAGGATACTCCCAGTAGTACCAACACACCATCATTTTATAAACAAACTGCCTGCCAAAGCTGTGCTTGCTCTTACTGGGAGCTGGGATCTTAGCTCTACCAAATCATACACTGCATCAAACCATGACCAATTAATGAGTGAAATTAAGATGGAAAAGAAAAACCTGAGTGAGTTGCAAGACTTTTTTGTTTGTTTGTTCTTAACAAAGAATATTCAGTAGGCCAAGTCTTAAGTATAAGGCTGCCTTAAACATACCAAATTGAGAAGATCTAGAGTTCTTTTGTTTCCCAGTAATATTTTTTTACTTACAGTCTTTTTTTATCTCATATTTTATTTGGTGATGTACTTGTTCTGCAGCACAATCAGAAATAATGTATGTAGTGGCATTGTGGCAGGGATAATACTAATGGTAAAAGCTAACTTTTTCAGTTTCTTCATTTCCACTTATAGTCTAAGTCATTGTAAAGGGCTTTTTATATATATAAAAGTAATGATTTGAGATGGCATCAAATCATACACTGAATAACTGTCTAGACATTCCTGATTTTACACATGGTCTCTGATTCTCTGATTTTTGCACATGATGTCGTAAATTTTGCAGTAGCTTAAATTCATTTAATTTATATAAAAAAAAAATAATGCTGTTTCTAAGCTGAAGGCATGATGGATCTGTTCTGTTTACTTAGCAGCAGTAGCATCCTACTAGTCTGGATGGTGTTTTTAAGAGTTGGTCTTATCTTCAGCTTTGACTTCAATCCAAACTTCAGCTAAGTGAAAGATAAATCAGAGTTTTTCCTTGTTTTCTTTTACTTTAGTTACCAACATATTTAAATTGCTTTAACTAAAATCCGCATGTAGTTTTCTGTATGAACCATATCTGTATAGTTCCCAGGGTGACATATATGTACATGTATATATTTATGTTTTACTAGCATACGTCTCTGTAAAGGATAGCAATAACAAAAAAATGGTAATAGGAACCCATAATCTATTGTTCTTGCTGAAACAGTATTATACTAACATGTAAGTTAAGATGAAGTTCCCTATTAGTGCGTGATTAAAAAAAAAGAAAAAAAAAAGTTGTTATTCCATTAGGGAAAAGAGAGAAACAAAAACGGCACAGTGGCTAGTGATGACAGTAATTGGGTTTAAAACCTTTTAACTGTTTTAAGATGACTTTGAAAATGTCGATTACAAACTTTTTAATCAGTTTAATAATTTGATTGTTGTCAAGTGTGAAAGACCTTTTTAGAAAAGACTTTTTATCTCTAGTGCAATAACTAACATTGCTGAACCTACTCAATGCATGTACTATGATAAGTAATTCCAGAAAATTTAACTTGGTACAGAAGGGTCACCATAGCAAGCATTCCAGTAGACTCTTTGAAGAGACCTTCATCTGATGTCTGCAGGTAATTGGTATTGAGACCCCAAATCCATCTTCCATCTTGAACCAGCTGAATGCTTTCAGTACAACTTACTCCTTATGTTTACATTCAAAATGAAACTAGATGATAGTGTTTCCTTAGTCTTCAATTTGTTTTACGTAAGGATGAAAGCTTCAAAGTGCAGAGAGACATGGTCAGTCTGGTGTGACTACTTTTTACTTTCTGTGTAGCATTTGACAAATAAAAATGTTTTGCAAATAGACAGGGAGACAGAATGCCTTCTTTCAATGCATTGCCACCTTAAAGGCAAGGAAAAGAGAAGACACTATGAACATGAATGATTAAGAGATGTTCTGCACTGATCTGGCCAATTCCTTATTTCCTCTTCCCTCCCAGGAGTCAGCCTACAGATGATAAACTATTGAGTTAAATGGCTGAGTTGGATTAACAACTTTCTTCCACTCCATATTCAGCAGGATAGGTCCCATTATTCATGATTAATCATTGATATGCCAAGTCCAGTCTCTTTCCCTCCTAGGAGCAGATGATGGCACAGAAATGATTTAGGAGGCAGTCAAGACACCTTGGCTACTATTCCAGACTTGCATATTGTGCTCTGAAACCCAATTCATTTGCGGCTTTAAGAGCAAGGTGGCAAATTATCTCCATGACCAACTGCTTAGTGGGAGTTGATCTGAAGAGGAAACATAATGCACGCAGTGTTTAAAACCACGTTCAGACAGATGCCACAGGTCAAAAATGGTGGTGTCTTTTTATTTCTTGCTTCTTGAAAAGTCTAGGGAATGGATTATCTTCTTTGACACACGTAAATCTAATTCCAGATCCTCCTCAGCAAAAGTAATGGGAAATGAAATCCCAGTGCGCTTTCATAACTGAAAGTTCTTAATTAAGATAGGGTACATGGAGACACTTAGAACGCCAACCTCAGCAAGTTGCAGTCTACCAACTGCAAAAATAAAATGTAACTTGTCATAATGAAATTGTTTTATTCATTAATGTAGTTGGTAGTATTCAAAGACTTAAAATTAGATGAAAGGCATTGTTATAGGGTGGGAGATTAACTTACTGCTTAAAACTGCGTGAGGTGCAGGAACTTAACGGCAATGTCAGGCTTAGTGGGCAGTGCTGTTTTATTAAACTCTACCGTGACTCATAATCGTTGCAGAAGAACACAGAACAGCAGAATCTATTCTGGTGAGCCCTTCGTTATGATACTGTGGAAGTTTTATTTCTGGCTAGCAAAACTGGACCTTACTTCCCAGCTCTTGGCTGAGTGAGTAGGGTTTTATTTCGAGCTGGCCAGTTCCTATGGCAGCTAGTGAGCAAAAGCTCCTGTGTACAATGTCAAATGTGAAAAGGGCTTAAAGATTATGTTTCTTTAAGCTTCCTTCCTTTAAGTAGGAACCTACCAAATAACAAATATTACATACATACACATTCTTAATAATTTTGCTGTAAAGGACTTGTTTGCTGCTTCTGGGTTTTTTTTTTTCTTTTTTTTTTTTAATGGCTTATGACTAGTACCCGAAGCCCAAACAATTGTTTTGTTATCATCAAAGAACTCTATTCTACTTCAGTTCCAAAAGAGAACTTCTTCACAACGAAGCGACACATTGTCTTCCTGAAATATTAAATCAGACCTTGAAGAAGGAAAGCTTTGGATCCTACTTCTCTACCATGTGTAAGAATGGTTCACAGAAAAGTGAATATAAATATCATAATGAATGCTTTAATTCTTTTACATAAGGTATTACTTTTCATAAAGGCATTCATAACAAAAATCAAAGACTCTTTTCGTTGTTGCTTTAAGGAACAAATGAAAAAATAAGTACTTTTATTTCTGGTGGGGTTTTTTTTTTTGTGTCCAGCTGAAGTTTGTTAGTTTCTGTCTGTTTTACAGCTTGCAGAGAATTTCAAGGTTTTGTTTTATCTGTATAACTGCATTTATATACAGATCTGTAAAAAGTAATTAAAACATGAAGTTGTATAACTGAAACATTCTTCCCCCAGCTGTAATTTAAATTTATTAAAGGGAAAGCAAAAAATGTAGGTTAAATTTAAAGGGGAAAGCAAAAACTGTAGGTTGATTCCCTTTAATTATAACTCCCCTTCAAAACACAGAATGCTAAAGAAAACCCGGAGCAAGTAGAGTGCTTCCTGTTTGTATTTATAAATGCTGGAGCCCACGTTTATAAGATTTAAGCAGTTTCCACCCACCATGACTTTTTTTTTTTTTTATATTGTAACATACCGTTTATATTTGCAGCCTCTGCTATATGTCGATGATAATATTTCTTGCTGGTTAGTACTTCAAAACTTGAACACAATAATGGCAAAACTGAATTTTTCCCCTTAAGGTTAGGTGTGGAGCCAGGCTATTGTTAAATAGAGAGAAAGTAGGAATGATCTGAGGCTTAGCTTTGAGAAATTTCCATTGGTGCTGTGACCATTTGTGTATTCAAAGCTTTAGTCCCACAGGGGAGGCATCCAGATATCATTCGGCTCCATTTTGTCTTTATTGTTTTGTTTGTTTGTTTGTTTTCTGATGCCAAGAACAGCTTCCTTAGAAGCATTAATCATGTGATTTTTATTTTATTTTTTTTAAATAAAACTATTCAGTGTCTTCTTCCAGAATTGTTAATCATGAGCCATTTTCTTTTTATAGGAGTTCTCTGGAATCTCTCTTCCTGTGATGCACTGAAAATGCCAATCATCCAGGATGCCCTCGCAGTGTTGACCAATGCAGTGATCATTCCTCACTCTGGATGGGAAAACTCTCCGCTCCAGGATGATCATAAAATACAACTTCATTCATCACAGGTGCTGCGCAATGCCACTGGGTGCCTAAGGTAAGTACAGCCAAACATTTGCTTTGCTTGAGTCATCTTGCTTTGGCTTGAATTGCTATTTCTTGTTCTTAGATGTCTGTAAAATAATTTCTGTGTCAGCAAAGAAGATGACTTTCAGTGCTATAAACTGTCAAGTCAGAAATTAATTAGAAAAAAAGCTTCAGGCCATTCAAAAGCAATCCCTAGAAGTTTGCCACTTTTCTTAATGGCTTTGACCAGTCTCCTCATCAAAGCTTGTATATTGCAGATGTTTTTTTCCTTCTAGATATTTCCCATTCTCTCAGTTCCCTGAGTGAAATCAGTATGTTCTCACTATTACACCCAATGTACTTAATGCAAAAAGCAGTGAAGATGCTTAAAAAAAGTAACATGCCTTGAGGATTCCCAGTGCCATTGGTAAAGTTATAATAAATATATCAGATATATTTTTTCTGCTCTGTGAAGATGAAAACTGTGGTGGAATTAGAGACTAATCAGATAAAAATTGTGCAACTCACATACCTAAACAGATCATTACATATATGTTATGTGTACCAAATATATATATGCAATACCAAGTTGCACTCATATAAATAAATGCAACATGATAAATCTGTTCTTAAACATCACCATAGGTATGAGAATGAAAATAGGATGAGTAAGAAGAGTTTCATTTCTGACAACCCCTTACAAAAGGACTGAATCATAGCAGTCTCTGGATTCCAATCCATATCAGTGTGTTGATGTATTTTAACTTATTAGGCAAGTTCTTCAAGTGATGATTTTGTTTTTCTGTTTTTATACTGGAGTTTCTGTAATCTGTCTCAGACACTTGTTATGAAGATTAATTAAGTAATAGCTTTAGGTGCTTCACGGGAAAATTTTTAGTTGAATAGTATTTGTTGATGATACAGCATGTGTTCTGTGTTTCATCCAAAACAGAAATCCATTGGATGGAGGTAAATCAAAAAACATTAGTTGATTATTTTCTTAGGAGGCAAAGAAAATTGCAGTTTTCTTACTTATGTGTAGCAAGCACCTTTTTCACCTTGTGTTTTTTCATCAAATGAACTATCTTCCTTTCAGAAGTGAAATATGGAAAGTTTAAGGGAAAAATAATAATGATAATTGATTTTTATATGTAATCAGACATTTAAATATAGAAGGTAATAATTTATTGTAAATATACTTGTATTGGATTTAAATATAGGTATGTATATGTGTATATCAGCTACATTATATCTGAGTTTTACTGATTTGATTTGGAAATATTACGAAAAGAGTTTTGTGGTATATTTTTGTTGCATTACATTCAAATCCCTAAAAAAATACTGGTAGAATTACACAGGTTATTCCATAAGGACTTATACCATTTAGTACTTTTCACACTTCTGATATTTAGCCTCATTTAAATAGCAGCCTCTGAAAAAATGTCTATTATAAATTTGGGCCTTCACAGGTTCCCCTTTTCTGAACGTGCATATTCAGTGTTAATTTCCCTACACCAAAGAAATCTTCCTGTTAACTTACTCCAGCTTCTTTTCCCATCCCTGACCCTGCAGACCTCAGTTGTTCCCACCTTTTAGTTGATGGATTCGTGTCACATTGGTCTTGAAATCTTTCTTTCTTTCTTTCTTTTTGTGAGTATGTGCACGCCCATTTGCAAACTGATGTGAGCTTACTGTAGCCTGCACTCTGGGTCAGCCTGAGGACTTGTGGCCACATGAGAATGGTACGTTGTCTGATACAATACACACTGCTTTGCAGCAAGGCTTACTGCCAAGTGCTTGATAGTACTCTGTCATAGCAGAATGGCTTCTGATCGGCTCTTGCAAAATAAGCTCATATCTGCCTGCAAAAGACTGTGCATATTATACCTCTTGAATCCTTTCAAGATAGCTGCAATAATTCAACTGCTTGTCCTAAGCTGGTTTGTCTTCTTTCCTTGTAACCCTAGGCCCTTGAACCACGAGAAGGCTTTTTAGTAACTTTCTGATCTCAAGCCCTTCTTATTTCCCAGGTGCATCTTTCTCTCCTCTGTATCTAATTGAGGTATTGGCCTTTGTCCATCTTTAGATAACTTCATCCAACTTAGTCCATGTGGATGCTCTTTAGCAAAGCCAGAACATTTGGAAAGGGCTGAATTTACTTTTGCTTCATTAGCAGAAATTTTCTTGTTTATCTCCTCAGTCTCTACAGAAAACCTCTCCCTCTGAAGAAAATGTAAAATCTGAGACTGTACAAGGAACAAAAATATTAGCTGACGTTTAAGGAGCTGAATGGTTGCTTTTGTGTGTTTTTTTTTGTTGTTGTTTGTTTTTTGTTTTTGTATTCATATAAAATAGTGGGGTTGAAGAAAACAGTGAATGACAGAAAGAAATAGAAAGCTGAGTTTCACTGCAGCTGATGAGATGCACCTCTGTGCTGCTAGTATGCTAACTAACATTCCTTAAATACCTGCCACCCCCAATAAGCTTGAAACAGCTTTCACACTTTCCCCTTATGACTAGATACAAGCTTCAGATTTCCATTTCAAGATCTCACAGTATGGGGAGATATTATGAAGCAAGAAGATAAAATGTACTGGCAAAGACACTGCAGTGCTTAGCTGGTAAACTCCATTGCAATCTTCAATGGGATAACTAGTTCTCAGACTCCTGTTTGGTTGTCCTCTACTGCTTTCTTTTTCCCCTTCTTTCTGAGCTGGTTTGCAAGGGAACGTTGATTCATAGCAGCTGCACCCAGATTTTCAGTGGTAGTGCTCAGTAGCATAGGAAAGCTATTTGACAAATGTTTCTAAATCAGTAATGTTGACAGATTTTAGAGACATCAGGCAGCATTACATAAGGTTTAATGCCACCAGATATGCTAGGAGGCTTTTTTTTTTTTTTTTTTTTAATCTTCAGTGCCTTTGTTTTTTTGATGCATCCACTGTTAAAGCTTTAAGGAATATCTGAGAGGTGCTATAATATAATCCTTCCTATATGGAGTGCCCATAAATAGTTTGCATTGGCTATTATATAGGAAGAGGAAGATCTTTTATATATGCATTATATGATTATTTTTCTTTTTGCTATCTTCCTGTTTCTCAGTTTCTTGATGAGAATATTTTTTAATCTTTTTCAATTACATAGTTGCTTCTTAACTGTGATTTTAGTACTCTTACCTTACTCTTCACAATTCTTGAGGAAGTTCTTAATACAGTTTTTAAAATGCTGAGTGGGACAACTACTGCAACTTCAGTCAAACAGCAACCCAGGTGAAATCTGTATGAAATCACATGAAAGATAGCAGCAAAATCAGATGTTCTATTCCTGTTATATTCTTCTTTCTTGAAAGAAGTTATTTACAAACTACACGGTTGTGCACTTTCATGCTTTAAAAAGAAAATAATACACTATTGTGCTGGATCATTTCATATAAATTAAATATTTAAAATTGTTTAGATAATTCAGATTTTTAAATACTTTTTATTTCTGTCAATTATAAATTGGTTCTTGATATTCATAATTGAGAAACTGCTGGGCCTCAATATGACACATTGGAGTAATCATCCAATTTACTTGCCGCTCCACTGAGATGTCAGGACATTACTTCAATAAGCTCTGTGAATGTTTGGCTTCTTTTTTCCTTTCAGGTTCAGCTGTGACTGATTTATTTGCACTTGTGAAATACCGTCTGTTTGTTTTGTACCTTCTGGTTCATGTAGTCTTCCCAGGGAAAGTCTGTGAAAGCTGAATTTTGAGTCCTGTTTGTTTATAGGAGGGCTCATGGTGTCCCTACTCTGAAATTTAATAATCAACAGGAGGCGTTTTGCACAATGTTCTTTTGACCTGAACTGTCAAGCTTACGTATTACAAAGTGCAAAAGTGTGCAAAGACCATCCAAAAAAATCTCTGGCAATATCTTTTCGGAAGTCTTTTTCCTGATGTATAGTCTCTGGAGAGGCTGTGGGTTTTTTTCCACGAATTTGACATGAGTTTAAGGTAATAGAATGTCACCTGAGGACTTCAAGGAATTTAAGGAAGTATTGCTTTAATGTTCTAAATCTGTATTTTAAGATTCAAAATCATAAAATTCTGCCCTTTTCTTTCTTCAGTGTTCTATTTAATTTTTCATCATATGAAAATCGATATATTAAAATATAGATCTCCCTTTACAGTATTGGATTTGAAACTGTATAGGAGAGAATAACTGAAGTACTTTTTCTTTGTAGAGCTTCATCCCTTTTACATTTTGCTGTTTCATACTTGTCAGATCTTTCACAAAATACCAAGAATTATTTCTTTCAAATGGAAACACACATAGCAAGCACTCAGAATAGAAAAGCAAAGGGGCAAAGTGCTTTTAGAACATGGGTTGAATGCAAGAGACCCAGTAGTATTTTCTGGATAGATCAACTTTTGGAAAGAACAAATTACCTTTTCACAACAATTTGTTTTAACTGTGAAACCTGAAAGCAAATGTTTTTAACTGCTTTGCAGATGAATGATCTGTTTCACAAACATTTGCAGCTAATGCATTTATCCCTCAGTCTTATTTCTCTTGCAGTTCTCTTCTAAGCATCTGAAGACTGTTAGTTCATATTCTTAGGAACTTCTATAATCTCTTTTGAAAATGACATTCTGCTGCATACTGACAAAAGAAAATGTGTGAGCAGCATAAAATAGATAGTATTATTTGCCATATGTTAAGTTTCTAAAAAAAAAGTATAGATATATATGTGTGCAGAAACTTGCTTTGATGTACATATGAAACTTCTTAGGATATTAAACTGGTACATATATACACATATATATGTACATTTGTATAAATATGTGAGAACTGATTGATGAAGCTAAAACATGTTTCTGTCTTTGCTGACAATTTCAAGTTCTGAGTATCTGCAATTGGGCATAAATAGAATGAACTTTTTGTAGTAGGAACAAGACCTTTGCAGCTAATTTCTTTTTCTATTCTTCTCCCATGAACAGCAGGCAGAGTTTTTTCGTCATTATATGCTGTTATAAATAAAGAGATGT